ACCCTGAGTTGGTTGAGACCCCGAGTCTGTTCATGAAGCTGGCTGTGGTAATTGCTCTTAACATTAGGGTCGCCCAGGGATCCCAAGCAGAGCTGGCCATATTCCAACAGCAGGCCTTTTGTGCTCCCAGAAGCCCTGCCCTGCACTGCCCAACCCCGCTTCAAGCCTCACCCACACCCTGAGGCTTTAGCTTTCTGTTATCTCCCTCTCCACAGGTCTGGTCCATGTCTGGTCACTTCTGAGTCACCAATACCATCCAGTTGGTGTGTTCCGTCGATGTCATGTCTGGAAGGCTAAGGGTTGACATTTCCTTAGAGATGGGACCCCACACACACACACCATAACAGTGGCCATGAAGTTCCAGGCAGTGGGGGAGGGAAGCTGGGGAAAGGGTTGGTAAGAGGGAAGACAGCCAAGGTGTTTCGAGTGGCCCCAACTCCTGTGTGTGTCTCGCTAAGCCTCCTCTCTGTCCCTTTGGCTCCAGACCCAGCCAAACTGTGTGAACAAATGGTGCTGTTGGGCCAGGGGCCAAGACGGAATCTCCTCAGACAGGCTAGCCAAAGGGTCTGTCCACTGACTTGCCAGGTCCGCAGGGAGCCGGGGAGGGACAGGCTAGGGCAGGCCCAGCTCTGGGGGAGCAGTGGGCACTGAGGACAGGAAAGCCAGACCTGCCTGGCCTTTGAAGGGCCAGCCTCCCTGAGGAGGACACTTTAAATCGCCCCCTATTAAGCCATTGCCGGAAGCTTCTAACAGCCTTATGGACCTTTTAAGGACTGTCCTTTTGTTAGGCAGCCTAGCTGTTATGCAGAGAGAGAGAGAGAGAGAGCGCTGGACAGGAGCCTCACTGCGTTCCCTGGGACCCCAAGGCCAGTTCATGGAGCACCCTCCTACAGTGCTTGCTTGGGAATCAGAGATTGGGGAGCCTGCTTTGATCCCAGGCATTCCAGACCTTCTCTGCCTCTTTAGCTAGAGCATGGCATGCTCCCCCCTTCCAGAAGGCTCTGGCCTTGGAGATGGGCATGCCTACTCTTTCCAATGGGATCTCTATGGTCAGGGGAAGAGGTCTCTTCCAGGCCTCTTCCTGGGACTTCCAGAAGCTGTCTTGGGGCCATCAGAGTTTCTGCTGCTCTCCTTGTTCCCACAGAACCCCATCACTTGAGCCTGCTCTAGGGTCTTCAGGTCCAGCCCTCAAGTGGCTGTTTTCTGGAAGTTCTGAGACAATCAGGATTCATCCCTTCCTTGGGAACAGGAAGGCCTGGGAAGCTCCTGCCTGTGTTCCTGTCATTCCTCAGGGCTCCTTCATTGCCCCAAAGCAAAAGCAAGGGTAGATATGAGATTAGCTGACTTAGACTGCGGGCCGCAGTCTCTCAGCTTTTCGAGTTACAGCAGCACGCGTAGATTTTAAAACAAGAATCCCCTCTCTGTAGACTGCAGTTCCTGAGAGGACAACAAATGGCCAGCTTCCGTTTGGTCATTTGGTTTGACATCAAAACCCTTCATCCTTGGCGCATACATCTGCTCCCTTATTTTGTCCCCAGGGCAGCCTGAAGAACATTGTTGAGTACAGGTTCCTCTACCGCAGGAACCCTTGGAAGGTTTATGGGACTGGCCTGAGTCAGTGGCACGTTAGGAGGGAGTTTCAGGAAACTCCCTTCAGAAGCTACCCTCCTCAGGTCACACAGAGCTGTCACAGACAGCTGTGATTTGGGTGCATTGCCTAGGGCACCTATACGCCTCCCTCGTGGCTTGGGGGCTGGTGGTAAGTTCTTCGTTGGCTGGAGGGAGCTATCTGAAGGCTTTGAAGGAATTCCTCTTATCCTAAGGCCAGTTTGAGCTTCTTTCTCTGAGTTTACCAAATGGACCCTCACAGCTCCGGGCCTAGAACTGCTGCTTTCGATTGCATGGTTTAGCACAGTCCCCGGGGGAGGTGTGAGATGACTCAGTGCTTGTGTGGGATCATACAGCTGTTAATGGAGAGGCCCAGACAAAGTCCTAATCTCTTGGGCCCTAAACTGGCCATTGTCCGGGCTGGTGAGATGGTTCAGCAGTTCAGAGCACCTAGCCCTAGGTCTCACACAAGACAGTTTATGACCATATGTTACTTCAGCTCCAGAGGGTCAGATCTCTCTCACCCCCTCAGGCATACACACACACACACACACACACACACACACTCATATACACATACCACTCACACACTCATACACACATACCACTCACACAGTTATACACATACCACACATACACACACACACCACCACTATTCACACACACACACACTACTCAACACCACTCTCACACACACACTCATACACATACACACACACACTCATACACATACACACTACACACACACACACACACACACACACACACACACACACACACACACACTGGGCATGGCAGTATATACCTTTAATCCCAGCACTGGAAAGGCAGAAGCAAGCAGATCTCTTTGAATTTAAAAGCCAGCCTGGTCTACATAGCAAGTTCTAGAATAGTCAGGTCTACAGAGAAAGTTCTTATCTCAATAATTAAGTTTAAAAATAGGTCTTGGGCGCACACCTTTAATCCCAGCACTCGGGAGGCAGAGGCAGGCAGATTTCTGTGAGTTCGAGACCAGCCTGGTCTACAGAGTGAGTTCCAGGACAGCCTCCAAAGCTACAGAGAAACCCTGTCTAGAAAAACCACTAAATAAATAAATAAATAAATAAATAAATAAATAAAAATAGGTCTTGGAACTGAAGGGACGGCTCACCAGTTTAGAGCGCTGACTCTTTTTATAGAGGACCTGGGTTTGATTCCCAGCACCTACATGGTGGCTCACAACTGTCTGTAATTCTAGTTTTAGAGAGTCTGGTGTCTTTTCCGGGCTTCTGAAGATATCAGGCACGCACTTAGTGCCCAGACATATGTTCTGGCAAATCACCTGTAAAATAAAATAGATATAAAAAAATAGCAAAGCGAGCATCGTTAACTTCTGTAGTATAGCACTGGGAAGCGGCTGAGAAACCAGGCCTCTCAGGCTCGAGGCTCAGTCAAAATGACAAGGCAGGGCCGGGCAGTGGTGGCGCACGCCTTTAATCCCAGCACTCGGGAGGCAGAGGCAGGCGGATCTCTGTGAGTTCCAGGCCGGGCTGGACCGACAGCCTCCAAAACAATATAGAGAAACCCTGTCTCGTAAAACCAGAAAAAAAAAAAAATGACAAGGCAGGTGGAAAGGGACACCGGGCCCCTGTAAATGAAGTCAGGCTAAAGTGAGGGGGACACAAACCGACCCGTATCAGGCCTGAGGGTAAGCGGGTTGAGGTTGCGCAAGGCTGTGGGTGGGGTGTGCAGGGAGCCCACTGAATAAACAAGCCTCATTTCCACACAGACTAGCTGTGACTGTGGCACCTTGTTTTGTACCAATAAATTCTTCTCCTGACACTGACAAGGAAATGGATGGTTGGAGATAGGAGCTAACATGCCAGAAACTTCTAGCCCAGTGTATCAAGCCCGATTCAAACCTGCAACTCAAATCCAAGAAATCGGCTATTTGGTTGAGTACATTAATTTTTTTCCCTTCCATTTTTTTAGGTGTCCCAAGGGATTGGGCTCTGGGCTTTGGGCACGTGAGGCCAGTGTACCCCTCCTTGTTGAGCTAATCCAGCTCCCCTAGATTAGCGATTTGGATCACCAATTCAGATGAGAACAGCCAGGTCTGGCCTCACCATTGATGGGCTGCAGCCGGGCCCCCCTCCCCCACTACGTTATCCCCATCCCCCACATCATCCCCACCCCCACGCATTTCAAAAACTCTGGATGGAAACCCAAAGCCTCTTCAGAGATGGCCCAGGTGGGCAGGTTGCCAGCTGGACCCTGGCGCCTAGTTCACTAGAGGACTGCTCCATGAGAAAAGGGGTTTAGGGGCTCTGGGCAGATCCTGCTGGGAACCATCAGTGCTCTCACTCAGGGGTGCTGTGGGAAGGAGCTGGGCCTGCTGGGACCTGGAGGAGCCCCTCATTCAACCCCCACAGCTGACCATCCCGTCTGACCTGGCCTGGGGTTCTGGGTGTGTTTTATTTAACAGTAGTTCCCCCACACCTTTTCTAAGCAGGTTGACAACTCTTAAAAAAAATGAGTGTCATTAAAACTGGGGGTGGTGATGTCTATCTGTAACCCCATCAGCACACTAGGAGGTAGAATCCTGGGGATTAGGAAGTAAAGGCCATCGTGAACTACGTGGGCTGCATGAGACCTTCTCTCCAAAAAAAAAAAAAAAAAAGTAACACATGGTTAGGGTCAAGGATGTAGCCCAGGGTGCAGGGCTCAAGGCTTGGTCTGAGCAATCCGAACATGCTTGCACACATGCCACGGGCGCAAAAGAATCCCATGACTGACACAGCGACAGCCTTTCATAAAGACGAAGTTATTGATCCACTGATTCCCCTCTAAGAGGCAGGATCATTATTCCAACGTTTTACGGACTGGGAGCCTGGGGCTTGCTCAGTCACCAACCCCGCCCACCATCTTTGAGTTTAGCTAGAAAGTGGCTGTCCGAGGAAACCACCTTGCCCATGCCCCTCCCTCCTCACTCGTGTGCAGAGCTTGGTCCCTTGAGGGAACAAGTGGCTGTCCCTCATGAAGTGGGTGCAGGCAGAGATAACTGAACTAACTGCTCTGGGTCAGGCCCAGCTGCTGGGAGTCTAGGATTGCACACAGCCTCCCCTTGGGTTGCTCATTGAGAAAGAACCCGGGCTGGAGAGACCTGCTGCTTTGGAGGAAAACAATGAGTCAACCCTGGAAGGACAGGGGTGTGAGTGAGTCAGCCTGGGAAGGGAAGGGGGAGTGGTCCAGTGACCCAGCAGCCCAGCCTCTGCCCCCCCCCAACCGATTCTTCCCATCTCCCCATTTGTCCGGCCCTCACCCCCTCCCCCAGCCCCCCAAACCCAACCCTTTCCTTTTTTCTGTTATTTGGCTGTGATAGGAAAAGTATTGAAAAATAGAAAGTGCCCTAGACAGGAAAACACTCTGAGAGCTGAAACCTGAAACCCAGTGGCGGCGCCAACACCCCTGCTGGAGGTGGATGGCTAGCCAGGATTCATTGTGGGCCCAGTCCCAGGCTCTGCTTAGGGTGGGGCCTGAAGCCCCTTTAGTGGAGGTGAGGACTTGAGGGGGGCAGTGGGCGACTACTGGAGATCACGTGGGTGGGGGGAGGAAGACGCATCGCGGGAGGTTTGGACAGACTACCTTTTATATTTACTTATGTGTTTATTTCTCTGCTTATTAGTTCTCTGTTTGCTCGCTGCTGGCGGTGGAACCTAGGATCTCATGCATGGGAGGCAATGGCTCTACCTGTGAAATACACCCCTGCACAGACTCCTTAGAAACGTTCCCACTGTCAAGGCGCCCTGTGCTTCCTTGCAGTTCCCGTGGTCTCCGTTAGAGCCACATGAAATCCTGGACGATTACCCAGCATAGTATCTACTAATGAGTCAATGTAGATACTCCTGGCCCATCCTATTGCACCCTAGTGGGTGTCACAAACCACCCCAGTTCTCTACGGCCCCCTCCACCTATAAACTACTTCTTCCCAGTTACCCAGAGAGTCTTCTTTTGGTGATAAAAAGGGCAGGAGGAACTGGCTGGTGGTCACAGAGCAAATGCATCCACCACAAGCTCACTGGGGTGACCCTGAGCCAATCCAGAGATGGGGCGGTTGGGGAGGCCCAGGGTCGGGAGAGCCAGCTGTGTGAACAGATAACAATAGAGCACCAGCGAGCCTTATCTGCGCTGGGTGCAGGGAGGATGCTGAGGGGCCTGGCCTGACCTGAGGGGCATGAGGTTTCCTAGCCAGCCCTGCGCTACCTGGGAGGTTGAGGCAGGAGGGTTCAAGACCAGCCGGGGAAATTTAGTGAGAGACTGTCTCAAAAGAAGTAAAGTCAGGCTGGGTAGCGCACACCTTTAATCCCTGCGGTCCTGAGGCAGAGGCTGATGGAACTCTGTGAGCTCGAGGCCAGTTTGGTCTATAGTAAGCTCCAGGCTAGGGCTACACGGGAGACATACAGCTTTCAGGATGGTTTGCAGGGAACACACAAGGTCCCAGAGTCACAATAGCCAGGAAAGAGAGGAGACAAAGGTTAGTGTTACGGCAGAAGCTTCACCCCAGCCCCTGGCAGGCAAATACCCAAAGAGTCTGGGATTTTGTTTTTGTTTTTTTGTTTTTTGAGACATGGTTTCCCTGTATTGTTTTGGAGGCTGTCCTGGAACTCACTCTGTAGACCAGGCTGGCCTTGAACTCACAGAGATCTGCCTGCCTCTGCCTCCCAAGTGCTGGGATTAAAGGCGTGCGTCACCAACGCACGGCAGAATCTGGGATGTTATGGTGGGAGTTCCACTCAAGCCCCCCTCCTCCATCTCTCTCCAAACCCTGCTGCATCTCAGAAAGCCCATCAAATGATGGCCCCTCCCCCAGAGATACCCAAGACCACTCCCACAGGGTATTTAAACTGTCCCTCAGAGAACAGACTCCCCGGTTTTCCGGTCTCCCTTTCCCATCTCCTCTGTGGGGGGCTGGAAGGCCACCTGGGGAGTGTTGTATCCATTAAACGTGGGCTTTTTCTAATTTGGTTTGGTTTGGATCGCTGCATTGCCGGAGAGGCTCATCGGGTACAGGAACTTCTCCGTTAAATGCCTACAGTGACTACTGGAACCAGGCCTTTGGGAATGCAACGGGCACGCTAGGCATCTCTGTGCCCACCAACCAGATGCAGGACAGGAGTTGAGATCCAAGAAAGGAACAGTTCTGCTCTTCATCCCCTGGGCCAAGGAGTCAGAATTTTATCCACTGAGCAATGGGGAGCCTGCTAAAACTTTGGGGGGAGGGCAGGGCGGTCAGTCAAGTGCTTTGGCTCAGAGGTCGCCAAGGAGGATGAGAAATGATGACCACGGACTCACCCGATGGGGATGTCAAGGAAGAGAGTGTCAGGGGCAGGGGGTGGGGCTCGGAAGATGCAGCCTCAGCGCTTCTCTGGCCCGGTCTTCGGAGAGCAACCCCCCTTGACTTCTCGCCACCTGCTGCCAGTAAAGCGGAGGCAGTGAGCATCATTCATTCAGCTGGCATCAACCCAGCGGCAGTGAGTTCAGGGCTGGGGTAAGAACAAGCCAGTCCCTGCCTGGGGGGGTCAGAGGGGAGAGCAATTGGCCAACAACAGCAGCATCACGTCGGCGGCAGCCTAGGAGTTCCCCTTGAGACCTCTCTCTCCTAGTCGCCGCCAGTTCTCTCAGACCCCCGGAGACACCCGGCGTTTCCCAGAGGAGCAGGTGCAAGCCCACGTGCATCCTAACGCAGGCGTCACTTAGTGTTTTCTGAGACTAATTAACCTCAGTGGGGAATAACTGTCCTCCCAGCTACTGACTCACCGTAAACCCAGACCACAGGCAAATTCGTTAACTGAACTAAAGCTTTCGCCGCCACCGCCGCTGCTAGCACACGGCCTCAAAGCACAGGCTGACCCAGTGGCCCTGCAGGGTGAAAACACTGTCACTGTGGGTTTAGTGGTGGTGACACTGCTAGTCTTTAAGGCCTTAGGCCTGTGTCCAGAGGGGCAGAGGTCGTTTTGGCTGCCTTGTTGCCTTGGACAACCAATTATCACACGCTATCTGGGACTAAAAGACAAGAGTAGGAGAGATCTGGTAAAGTGTGTGTGGGTTATCCTTATTACCAGGACACCCCTCCCTTTGCCTTGGTGGCTATTCTAGACTTTGTTGGCAGGATCACCAAGGCAACCTACAGGCGAGCCCAGGACGGGTAGACTGGAGGTGATCCTCTTCTCGACTTCATTAAGTGTTGGTAGTTCAGTTGTGAGAAGCGAGGAGGCCACCCTGAGTGATAACTGGGGATTATTTGCAAAGCGGTCGGTTTCAGATCTTGGATTTGTATATTTCCGTTTCCTGCCGGTCCCTGGACTTACAAGGCTACCTTCTGTGTGTCTGTATCTTCTCTTGGACATGAGCTAAGACAGGGCTCAGTATGCAGGGGACAGTGTGGCCCTGGGGTTGAGTGTGGGTGCTGGATTAGCAGCCTCTGGCCCAGCGTGAGGTAGCTAGCGCAGGTCCAGGTCGTCAGCAGGAGCCCTTCCTTTTATTTCTGGCAAAGACTTGTGGAGGGGAGTTCCCCTTCTCTGTTTGTTTTGGTTCTGTTGTTTTCTTAAAGACAGGAAGGAAAGCTCTCATCACTTTTTCGGTTCTGTGAACAATAAAAGCCGGCAGGAGGATGTTTCCCTGTCAAGCCCACAGCTTCTCTCCCTTCCCCACAGCGAGGCCCCCCACTACCAGGATCAGGCTCCACTGATCCCAGGGGCTGGCTTCACCTTCGAATTGCTTTGACTTCTGAGTCTTATATGTAAAACTAGGAGTCCTCAGATTCCCTTTACAGGGTTGTCAGGGGCAAAGATAAACGAATAAACAGACAAATAAACAATAAGAATACGACGTTGAAAAGACAGAGACCGCACTGGGTGTTTGGAGGGATCCCCCCTTTGCATCCTTCCCTCAAGAGCATAAACGTTTGGCTCAGAGCACAGGAGAGGAAGCAAAATGGGGCTCCTCTCATCTTTCTGGCTTCTTCCACTGCAGGCTTGCAAACACTGGCCTGGCCGTGTCCTACTTCTAAAAAGCTTGAGGAACAAGGGATAGGTGGCAGGTGAGCCCCGGGGCTGCTTGGTCCTGGAATTGTCCTTGCTCTGTTGGGAGACCCACTGAGCTTGTCTCCAAACATCTCCTGGCTCCTCAGTCTCCATGCCCAGTCCCACCAGACAGAGGCCTCCCCCTCGATTCTCCCCGCTTCTCTCCTGTATCCTCTTTTCTATCCTAAATTCTTCAGACAGGTCTTGCTATGTTTGCCTGGCTGACCTTGAACTCTGAGTACACTAGCCTGGTCTTGAACGAAAGGTGATTCTCCTGCCTCAGTTTTCTGAGTGCTAGGACACCCCTGCCCCCACTTCTGTCTCTCACTAGCTAGCCCTGGATGTCCAGCCTGGGCTCCTCCTACCTCAGCGGCGTGACATTACAGGCAGGTACCACCACAACAGGGCTGCTTCCTGTGGCTGAGGGACCGCCCTGATCTGACAGACAGGAAGCCTGGGGGGCTCTGGTTGTTTCTACTGTATCCCATTTTACTCTGAAACTTGGACCAAATACTACCTCAGTATCTCTGTCTGCAAAGTGATTCCTGAGCTCCTGAAATACAAAATCCTCATTTACAGTGAACATGGTGTACAAGCCTGGTCCCTCAGAGAGCAGCTAGGCTTGGACTCCTGAGGGAGAGCCATCTGCAAACAACTAAGTAACACATTTAAAGTGGTTTGTTTATTTATTTAGTTTTGGGTCAGTGTCTCATCTAGAGCCCAGGCTAGCCTCAAGCTCCCTATATAATTGAGGCTGTCTCTACCTTCTGAGTGCTGGGATTAAAGGCCTACACCAGCAAGCCTGGCTTATGTGACACTGAGGGTCAAACCCAGGGCTCCATGTACACCAGGGGAGCATTCTACTGGGTGAGCTACATTCCCAACCCTAGAGTGCACATTCCATTCAGTGACCTCTAAGGCCATTGAACATGTGGTACCCTACCTGAGAGACTTCGCCTGTGGAAGATTCGGATACTCAAAAGGCTAAAGGCTCCCGGGGACCTTGGACCCTGGGGTATCAAAGATAGTTCCGGAATTGGATGAGCTTCTGTCACCCTTCCTGGAACATTGAACCAGCAGTCAGAGGCCCACACAGGAACGCTCTACAATGCCGAACAAGAATGAACGGTGCGGTGGCTTTTCTCCAGCACCCTGCCACTTCCTCGGCACCTGCCTGGGCACCAACCAGCTCTACAATGCGTCTGTCCCACTTTTCTGGGCCCCAGTAAAATTTTTTTGGGGGGTGAGATAAGGAATTCATGAAACAGTTGGTATTTAACAAATCTGACATCTCAAAACAAACCAAAGGGCTGAAGATAGACTTATTCAGCCTTTGGATGGAGCCTGGGGTTTGATTCACGGCCCTGAATAAAAGCAGGTATGGTGGTAGATGCCTACACCTGTAATTCCAGAGTCAGGATTTCAAGGTCATCATCAGCCGTAATAGTGACTTCCGGAGCTGGAGAGGTGGCTCAGCGATTAAGAGCACTTGTTGCTTTTTCAGAGGACCAGGATTCGGTTCCCAGCACCCACATGGTGGCTACCAACCATCCAAACTCTATTCCAGCAGATCCTCCAACTTCTTCTGACCACCATGGGCCCCGGGCACGCAGGCCGTGCGCACATGTCCATGTAGGCAAAGCACTCACATCCATAAAATACCAGAAGTGGGGCTAGAGAGATGGCTCAGAGGTTAAGAGCACTGGCTGCTCTTCCAGAGGTCCTGAGTTCAATTCCCAGCAACCACATGGTGGCTCACAACCCTCTGTAATGAGACCTGGTGCCCTCTTCTGGCCAGCAGACATACATGTAGAACTCTGTATACATCATAAATAAATCTTTAAAAAAAATAAAAGAAGTAAATAACAAAAAGACAAACAAAAGCTGAAACAAAATAGCAAGTTCCAGCACAA